GGATCGCCTCAAAAGATGACCAGTTTTTTCGACGCGGGATTCGTATGCTGCCCGAAAGATGGGAGAAAGTAGTGGCCAGCGATGGACAATACTTTGAATCATAAATGTATAACCAGTTTTTTACAATAAAGCCTCGAATTTCAGAAAAAAACGGTATAAGCAAAGTCGTACGTCTTATATTTTTGTTCACATTGAAAATGATCCAATAGGGATTGAAACGTTTGTTTTATTTTACTTGTTACCGTTCAAATTAAAGTTTATATGTATTTTAACTTAATAACATGTGTTATTTATTAACTATTCAAAAAATTCTTTTATTTTATGATAATTATTTTAGGCTCGTAGTCCTTTTCTTTCTGTTTGTTGGATTATTATTATTATTATTATTATTATTATTATTATTATTATTATATATCTATCGCAGAAATATTTTCTGTTCTTTTTTCTGGTAAGTTTTTCTGACTAATCGAGATAAATTTTTAATGAACGCTAAGTGTCCCACGTTGTCATTCTCCTACAAGAGGTTTACGTGCTTGCTCCTCTTTCAATCGGCGAATCGTATCGGCACAATCCCCTTTTTATTGGTGTAAACATTAATGGAAATGTCATTCAAAGTTTCGAATTTTTTAATTTGAATCAACGTCATTGGAAATTCGATGCCCGCGAGATTTAGAATCGATGTATAATGCGGATACGAGGATGCTCGATGTGCATTTTCTTGAGCCGGGTGTAGAACGGCAACAACAGGTTATGCGAAACACGCATTGTCCATGGTTTACACGTTGATTATCGCTTTCTTTAGTATAATTTCTCGCGGGAGATTGATATGACATCCCGCACACGAGGATTGTTCGCGTTCACTGTTAAATTCAGTATACGCGACAATGCTCATCCGCTATCGCGTTCCTGAAACTCTTCCAGCGATGATAAGGTAAGCTCGACGGCGCGCGACACGTACCACTTGCGCAATTGGCATTGATATAGTTTCGGGTGGCAATACTTTTGTTCGCGCGTTTATCGCCTGCCACGAACTCACCATTTAAAGACAGTGTTTATTTTTATAGAGTCATATCGCTGCATTATACTATGCGCATGTTCAAGTACAATTTCGCTCGCGTCTTTGAGGAATCTCGGCGAGACTCGATATGTTTATAGTTTATCACCGCGCTCGTCAGAATACGGCTTTCGAATGCCATTTCGATGATGCGCCAATGGAGTTCATATCTGGCGCTTACATGCACGAATCTTTCACGCATAGATTCCTTCAGACTTTCAAGTCGCGCGATACATGTGATCGCCTATTAGTGATTGTCTATTACCGATTGATAATCGCGGGTGTGATACGGATCTACTCCTCCAATGATTCTATAAATTCGTCGCATTGCTGTTCCCACGCGTTGTACTCTTCTCTTATATTAAGCTTGCTCAATCAAATCGTGTTCCATATTGTCACTTGCGCTGTCGAATTGACTAATGATGTTAATTGACTGAATCTTATCATTTTTATATCATTATGTGCGCTATTTTTATTAATGATATTAGACATGCCTTGAAAAATCTTAAATTACGCTAACAAAGCAGCTATACTTTGATGAAATTGCAAATGTTGTATTTTTATAGGTGTTATATCAAATTACATTGATGATGTCATCGCCAAAACATGTTAATTATCCTTGAAAAAATTTCTTATATTACTGACACTACTTGCTAACAAGGTCATATTGAAACTTGCAAATTTGCTGACATTGCAATTTGCGGTATCAGATTACATTAATGTCATCACCGGATGTCTTAAAAATCTTTTGTTACAAAAAATTGTTGGAGAGAATAAGATTTAAATAGAGATTGAAGCAATGATACTGCATCAGTCGCTCAGACAGATTCGTTTTGCAGTGATCTTCAGCGCTATGGATTCATACGTTCAACATGGGCCAAGCAAGTAAGTATTTTAATTATATTTGTTTGTGAAGACTTTTTTCTCTATATATTGCTTATTCTTTTGTTCTTCTCCATTACAGCGTCTTCTCATTTTGATAAGACTATTAGTGTTGACACCGACGGTTTACAAATTTTTGAAGATCGTATAGAAATTATGATTGGTGATGGGCGGCTACCGCATCATCCTACCTCATGTTATGTGGACATTATTAATCGAAAAACGGATAGATATCCAGAGATTGGTGCAGTCATCTATGAAGTTATGATATTGGACCTTGTCATTGAACTTGTTAAAATACGTGATGTTGACAATGTGAAATTATCTTTAAGTGAAAAATGTTTACATATGAAACCGCCGACTATACTTTTTATGCTTGAACTCGAATAATGTCGAGTATATATTTCGATTTGTGTCAATGTACTAATATTATAAGCGATAAATTTAAAGATTTTGTGACTTATTTACGTCAAACCTGTATAAATAACAATAGCGATACTATAGATACTTTGTGTATGATTTATGATAAAAATTCATATATTGAATGCGAATTGTTAGTATATGTTGTGGATAATATTGTATATAATGCATTACATGAAATATAAATGTCTAAAATAAAAATATCTGTGTCTGCAATTAATCATTCCTATCTCAACGGTATCGTATTACGCGCATATCATCGCGCGCGACCATACCATCACGCAGTGCGAATAATTATATAAGATAAAATAAAATAAAATAAAATATATCATATAACATAATAAATAAATAAAATATTCCGCGTGCGAGAAGAGGATGACGACACATAAGAAGAAAAATAGTAAGTATTAATAAAACGTATACATGGTATATATAGTGTATGCGGTGGGGACCGTGT